GTATGCCAAACCGCTTGCGAGCTGGGGCACAGGTTTCGGTGTTTCGCATACAATTAGATCTTTGATATCGGTTGCCTTGAATATGATATACTCATAAACGTCGTCACGCGCTGCTACCGGATTTGATGTCGGCCGATCTTCTGTACCAAATGAACGCACTACAAAAAAAAAAACAAAACATTTTGACTTATGATTCCGTTTTAAATGCATTTAAGCTTAAGAAATTTGTCCAGGGAAACAGTATACATGGATTTAGGCATATTAACGCGGATTTTAATAAAAGACGTGGCAGCGCAGTCTCATTTTATATCGCAGCAAAACGCTGGCACGCGCTGCTACCGGATTTGACGTTGGTCGAACTTGGATTTGACGCCGGTCGGATGTTGAAACCTACGATATGACGTACGTCAAATGCTGAAATCTACGAAGCCACACGTCGAACACTAAGCAAACTGTGCTGAAGGACGACTGATTTGACTTTTGCCAGAAAGATAACCAATCTTTCTGTAGCCTGTTTATTCGTTTCGATGGTAAATTGGTAGCGACCCACGCCAGGGAAATAAATTCATCATCCGTTTTCATCCAAACTAACCCGCAAAAGAGGGAGCCATCGAAAGTTTTGCCAGAAGCTGATTGCCTCTTGGCTCCTGCTGCCACTAAGGCCAACTATTTCCAAGCCCTCCTCCTTTCGTGAAGAGCAAATACAGGAAAAAACTACCCTCCGGCAGGACCCCACCTAGCGGCAGCTTGATTCGAGTCCGAGAACTGTAAACCTCTACACTTCGGCAGCTGATGGCCGTGAAGTAAAGCGTCAGGGAGCGATAGATAAACGGAAATTCAGGCCGAAGATTGAGTTACAAACAGCATTTTTTGCGAAAAAACGACGGATGGAAGGAAACATTTTGGCTGATGATTCCGTTTTAAATGCATGCAAATAAAAAACCTTCCATCCGTCGTTCCTTCGGAAAAAATGCTGGTTCTAGTAACTCATTCTTCGGCCATTTGTTTGGCCTAACTTTCTGTTTATTTGTCGTCTCCTGACTCTTTACTTCACGGACATCGTAGAAGTTTACATTCTCGGATTCGAATTAAGCTGCCACTAGATGGGGTTCTACTAGAAGATAATTTTTTCTCTATATTCGCTCTCTATGAAAGACTGGGACTTGGAAGTAATGGAGATCCGAGTAGGATAACTGCTGAATGATGTATTTTCGATCACAGGAACCACAATGAGGCTGTCATTGGTAAAAAATAAGTTATCATCAAAAATTGGAAAACAAAAAAAACCAACGAAAACTTGTTAAATCTGCTCCTGGTGCAATCTGACATAACACAGCGATGAACAACAGCATCTGACGTAAATTCGCTTAGCAAAAATCCTGGTGGTATGCATAAAATACTAAAGAAAAATAAGAAATGCTTGGAACCTTTTGCCAGAGCGATTGTTGATTCATTGGTATCGACTGTATAAAGGATGCCCTCGTAGCGTATGTCCAATTTTGAAATTAGGCTTATTTTGCTCCCGATATAGGGAGTTTGCTGCGTCATTATTGTGTACCGTGCTGCCCAGTGTTGCTCCCGCACTCAGTTGTCAGATAAAACTAAACCATATAATATTTCACCCTGAAAGGATCAAAAAAAAATCATGGTAAATAACAAACAAGTAACAATTACGCGATAAAACTTTTCGTTCTGCCAGACAATGAAACCAAAAAAACGCCGCGCTAGCAGCAGCAACAGCAACAGAAACAGCAGCAATAGCAGCCTGGGAAAGTACCTCTCGACAAACAGCTTTCTGGTGGTCAATCTTGGAACGATAAAGAGGATTTTTTAAAAAAGTGGGTGGCGAGTCTCGAAAAACCGGAGCAAAAATGCTCCGCTTCGAAAAGGTCTGAGAAAATAAGCAAAACGCTTAGCTCCCCTTACAGACTTCTGAAGATAGGGACAAAGGTACACAGTTCAAGGCAGGCTTAGAAGGGCAACAGCAAGGATATGGGGTACCGCACGAGTTTGAAAAACCAGCGACGAAACTACACGGTTTCAAAAAGATCTGGAAAGTCTCAGCAAAAAGTACGTGGCCACATGGGACACTGCAAAGTGAGTTTCAAAAGCGTTGGATCTGAGGACGTCCTGGCTGATCAACGCCACAAGTGCCCAGTTTCACAAGAATCTGGGAGAAGAAACTCAGCAAAGCTGCGTGGCCCATGCAGGTCTGGAAAGGACGCAACGGGTGTGCACAGTCCTGCATTGGCCTAAAAATGGGCGGTCCTGCTCTTCGATTGGAAGGGCGATACCACCAAACGTCAGAGGTCGCAGTTGGCACTGTGCTAGTTCGAAAACTAGTCGGAAAACAGCAGCTGAAATTTTGTTAGAATGTCTGTTTTTCATATTTAAAATTGTACACCGGAAATAAGAGTTTCGATTTGCGCTTGTCAGAGATATTTGTCTTAAGACGTAGCGCAAGTGCAAATTAAGCCCAGAAAGAGGGCGATGAGGGTGCGCTATACCAAGTGAGTCTGGAAAAACCCTTGCAAGGCCCGGTTCCCCAGACCTACAGGACAGGAGTCCGTGGTCCCAAGACAATTCGAGACGATGAGTTGAGGATGCCGAGTGGGTTATGCGTGTGCGAGATGAACGGTACGCGGCTGGGCAAGTTAGTATTGATGATGGTAAGTGAGCTCGCCATGGCCTCCGCAGCAATACCAGCAACAACAGCGGTAGTCAGGAAGATCACAGAGAGAGAAGTCCGAGAGGAGCGCGCCATCACCACAATCGATCCGGGGCCGCGACAGCGTCATCCGCGCATCATCTCAATGCCGCAAACGCACATCTCGGAATGTATGCCCTGATGATCTACAGCTAAAAGAGGAGTACCAGCGCATGCGATTAACGGGAAGTACCACAGCATTTTCGCGATCCGCCGGAAGATTTGCGAGCATAGGTGGATCTAGAACGGACTCCTGGGAAGGGAGAAGGGGGGGGGGGAAGACGATGAGGGATGGGGGACAGTCCCCTCCCACCCGGGAACTATACAAAAACTGGATAAATGGCCAACGCACGGGCTGCCCGTGCGAAGATGCGTTTTTTGCAGAGTTCCCCGCAGTTT